CACATGTGGTTCCCCAGCAACAGGCACTTTAAATAGGTTCCATATTATCCAACAGTACTTATCCAATAAGTTAGCATTAGGGATTGGCACCCTTCAATATTTACAAAGGTTCTGGGCCTTTTGAAGGTTTCATAAGTCATCTACTCCATCTCCCTTTTAATTTTTAATAACTGCTGTGGTGTTTTGGAAAGTCATAAAAAGACTTTCTCAATGACTGCATCCAGATTTCAGAACTCCCTACTGAGAAGTGATTCATTGTCCTCTTGATAGTTTTCTGGTGGTAGCCTTTTTATTTAAATACACAGTTGGCTGACTAAATTGATTTCTATTTCTCCATGACTCTGTTTTAATTCACATATTAAATTGTTGAAGAACTGTTTTTCAGTGGGTGCCCTTGCATGATTTTTAAGTGGATTGAATCTTTTTTTATTGAGAATGTTATTGTTTACAATTTTTTAGAAAGGTGAGGTACATATGTAACAAATAAGGAAAAAAGATGTAGCTACCTTCCAACATAAGAAACTGGTTGATAAATATGTCTTTCTTTAAGAGGTCCACTTTGTTACTACTGGAAAGTCCTCAAAGATGGTGATGGCTAATCCATCATCTCCTCAAGACCTTCTCAGTCTAGTCTTTACATGCGTCCATTTTATCTCTTTTTCCATTCAGTAGGCATATGGAATTGCTTAATTAAGTACATACAAATGGTTTTGCGTTTCAATGTTTAATTTCCATTTTTCAAACTGACAGCTATTCATCTTAGGAGAAATCTTCTCCATTATAATGTGTACAAAATGATGCTTTTAAATAAGAAATCACACACCAAGACATGTTTGACAAAAATGTGTAGAAGTATAAAATATGTAAATTATAGAGTCTCCTGAGGTAACATTGATCAATGCCTTTGAATAAACCATATCAATTTCCCCTTCTTCTTTGAGCAATATTCAACACTTGCTGAAGTCAATTAAATTTGTCAAAATGGAGGCTAGAAGCAAGTTATTCTTCAAAGTGCACAGGCAGAAAGCTATCTATAGAGAAACACATGTGGCTTTAGAAAATGAGGCGTATGGGAATTTGAAATAATGGGTTGCGCAGACCTCAAATTTACAAAATTCTTCCTAACTGGTTATTGACAACTAGCTTGTCGAAATTAATACTTTGGCTTGGGCTAATCTGGACAATTTCCCCCCTATAGCCATTTGGAGTCCCTATATCAGGAAAAAGGATGGATAACATAAAGCAGGGGTCCTCAAACTATGCTCTGTGAAGCCCTTGGGGCTCTACAAGTAATAGTGAGGGGTTCTGGGGTGCCATGCTGCTTCCGGCCTCCTCCTCTTTCCTCCTCCTCCTCCTGAGAAATCCAGGGAAACCATTGTTTGAAGCTGCCAAAACAGCAGCCCTTTCTCCTCCACCTTCCTTACTTATCTGACTCTTTTCCTTGCCACCCAGACCTGACCCTCCCATGCCTTCTTTGCTTGCAAAACCCTGTTTACCTCCCACCACTCAGAGGGTACTCCGATTGTGCTTTTATTTCAGGGAGTTGAACCGGATCGCTCGCTAGGTTTCTGTTGTTGTTGTTAAAAAGTCTGGGTGGCCAACTGTTGGGGGTGCTTTGATTGTGCTTTTCCTGCATGGCAGAAGAGGGTTGGGCTGGATGGCCCCTAGAGTTCCTCCTATTACTATTATCCTTACTACTACTACTACTACTACTACTACTACTACTAGCTGGATTGCCATCCGCCAGGGGCACTTTGTGTTTTTCCTGCATGGCATAAGGGGGTTGACTGGCGTCTTCTGCTGAAATATTGTTAAGTTTATGTTGGTTAAAATTGTTCTTCATTTTAAGTAATGTATTATTCTTTTTTTATAATTTTGCACTACACAATCACCATCACCATCGTCACTGCAGTCATATGTGAAGATCAGTGCCAAGCAGTGATCAAGCGAAAAAGCCTGTCCACGAGGAGACTTGCCCTGGGACATCACCTGCTACGCCAGCAAAAGTAATGATCAAAGGCAGCGCACTCACAAGTGTGTTTGTGGTTTTGGAAGTCTGTGATATCTGTGGGTTGCTTCTCCAGCACCACATCTCAATGGAGTTGATTTTTCCCCTGTTATCTTTCTCCTGACAGGACTGATCCAAGGTGTAGAAAATCTCTAATGATTTCAATTACACCCACTTTAATGCTATACAGATCTTCTGTGCTTGTCTTTTTAAAGTATTTATTCACTTCATTGCTAAACTTTCATCAGTAGTCAATCCAAATCTTTGCTATTTTCTGCTAGGAATATGATCTTCCCAACATCTATTAAATTATTGATGTTTCTTCCTCAAGTTTTCATACTTCTCTCCTCCAAATCTTATCCTACTTTCCATATTGCATATTCTGCCTGTGAATTAAACAGATAGGATGATAAAATTCACCCTTGTCTGACTCCCTGGCAACTAAAAACCATTCTGATATAGGACTTAATCCAGTTCAGTCATAGTCTCTAATTCATCACGAAAAGCAGCTCTGTGTTGTTAATCTACATGGCTAATGCAGGGTAGGATTTCGAAATATGCCATCCGGTGTTCAGTAGTGCTTATTCCAACACAAGAGCATATCCCTGATTGGCCATGAAAACCCAATGGGTGACTTTGGGGAAGTCATATATCAGCCTTGAATAAATCTTGCCAAGATAGCCATATAACGAAGTTGCTTGTCAACAACAACTTGAAGGTGCACATCAAATAATAAGACAGAATTGCTGCCTTCACCCCAATACAATGGATTTTTAGAACAATGTTGAGCAAGCAGATTTGACTGGATCCACATATCAATATAATTTTAATAATACTTATACCATCTGTAAACATTCACACATTAAATTGACAATGGTACATTCACATTTTACAATGGCATACATATTTTTAATTGATAACAGTTTTTGATCCAGCTACATATTAGATTATTCCTTATACATATTCCTATTAGCTTATGAACAGAAGCGTATTTGTGCTATCATTAACACTGTTTTATAAATGGCCACTGCAAAGGTTTTTATATGCATTCCAGGGTTAATTGAGAATCATGTGGACATCCACATGACATCCTCACTTCTGATTATGTTGGGTAGGATGAATAGAGATTGCAGTCCAACATAAAATTTACATTTAGTGTAAATTCAATGTTCAGTTTGCTGTTCATATGCCTTCTAATCAACTATGGCTTGTGGTAATCCTATCCTACAGTTTTCCTGGCAAGGTTGACATTGCCTTTGTTTCAGGCTGAGAATGTTTTTACCACCCAAGGTCACCTATTGAGTTTCCATGGATAAATAGGGATTTGAGCCTTGGTTTCCTAATCTAACATCCAAACCCTAGACCAAGGCCCCTCAAACTAAGGCCTGTGGGCCAGATGTGGCCCTCCAAGGTCATTTACTCAGCCCCACCCTAAACTTTAAACTTAGGGTCACCCTAAGTCTGAAACAATCTGAAGGCATATAACAACAACAATCCTAATTACCTTGACTATCTCACCAGCCAAAAGCAAGCCCACATTTCCCATTTGAAATACTGGTAAGGTTATGTTGGTTAAAATTGTTCTGCCTTTAAATACTGTATTGTTCTTTTATGGCTTTTTGCACTTCAAATAAGATATCTATGCAGTGTGCATAGAATTTTTATGTTTTTTGCAAACTATAGTCCTCCCCCTGCCCCAATATTCTGAGGGACTGTTAACCGGCCCTCAGACTAAAACGTTTGGAGACTCCTGCCCTAGACCATGGTGGTCAATTTCAATAGACCTGAAATGATCAGTATTTATGAAAGTATTAACAGAAAAGTCTCATTTGTTTCAATAGATCCACTGTAACTGGGCTTTATATTGGGTTCAGTTTATTGTCACTGGTAATGCTTTATACATGTTTCTCTTATCACTGTACTTACAAACACACCCCACATTATGCCATTAAGATGTACATACTTGTCAGGTATACTTCTATTACAATAAATTATAACCTATGACAAACTGCACCATAATATATTTGCTCATTTTTAAGGCACCATAAAACTTAATTATAATTTTTAATATTCTTGATTTCATCCTTCCTCCTCTCCTCTCTACTTATTAGAATAGTCATCGGTTGTTATAAATGCCTGACATGTAACCCATAAAAATGTCATTACTTAATAAGCAATGTTGTCTGGGGCAATTGTATTTCATTGCACAGAGCTAAAAATAAATGTATTTATCTTGCCCTTTACATGTTTAAAATCCCAATTAGGCTAAGTTTTTGAAGATAAAAAGAATCTTTTATTAAATTTAAAAGAGTATTCCAGTTTTTCGGTGACAAATTATTTCAAGGTAAAAATAGTTATTAAAAACATGCTAATATTATGCAAAATAGTAATTGAAATAATGTTGAATATAAATTGCAAATCGATCTTAGAGTTCCTTTCTTGCACATACTTGCAAATATGATATTAAGTTATATAAGATTGTAAAAAAATACCCTATTTACCGCTCATATACGTGTGGGCAAGAATTGGGGCAAAGGGAAAAAAAATAATGCATATATACTTCTGGGCAAGAATTGGGACAAAGGAAAAAAACCTGCCATCAATAGATGCCTGGAAGAGAAATATTTTTCACAGAATATTAATGTACAAGGTACAAGGTCACTCATGAAAACATTGAGAAAGACTGCACAACACAAAATGTATTTCTGGAGTAAGAGATTTATATTATCAGGCTGTAGAGAGATGAGTCATTTGAGTATTATTAATAAATCAGACAATGAATATATTTCTTTCAGGATTGTACATTCATTCAAATAAATAAGTGTATTTGTCCCTGACTCCTGATTTTAGTTTTGTACCTCATGTTTTGGGGGAGTACAATAAAAATATACTTCTCCAAAGCAACATTTTCAAAGAATTCATAAGAACATAGGTACAAAGCATGAGTCTTACTAACTTGGGAATTCTCAGTAAATAAATTGCTAACTCCTACCAGAACAAAATGATCCTTGTGTTCCCCCTTTTCCAGAAAGCTCTAGCAGATTTTCCCCAATCAGGATAGGGCTTGTCCTGAAGCATCATATCTGTGACCTGGAATAAAGGAGGCAGAAAAGACAGAGAAAGAAGTTCAACCTGGGATTTTTCAGTCAGATTTTTAAAATTCTGTCATAATATTTTACCTCAAGTTTTGCTCAAAATTGACATCTCCATATGAGAAGTGTCCCAGTACACAAGAAAAGATTATACATATAGTTATTCAAGCTGAATATGTTTGTTTAGTAAGAAACCTCCTCTGGTGAGCTGAATTAGGTTGGATCATATCTAAGCAGGGGCGGCTCATCCATTACGCAAAGTAAGCGGCCGCGGAACACTTTTGTTTTGCCAGGGGCGCAGAGGCACCTCTGTAAATGCCCCTTGACCAGGAGCGGCTCAACACAGTAAACAGATTACACGAGTGCGTAGGGCGCTAGGACCCAGAGGCGCCCGGGCATGGCAGCCCAGGAAATACTGCGCCTGCGCATGGGGCTCTCAGTGAGAGAGCACGAAGCTGCACGTGGAGCGCGCGAGGGCTCTGCAGCACACTGATAGAAGTTCGCCAGTTGAAAGACAGAGGTATGAAGGCCGCCTCTGGCCTCCTTCCTTAGCTACCTCCTTCCTTCCTTCCTTCCTTCCTTCCAACAGAGTGCCTGGCCCACGCTGTGCCGCTGCTGCTCCTGGTGGGGGCCACCTTAGGCCTCCTTTCCTGGGCCTCCGTTCTCCAACCCCAGTGAAGCGACTGGCTCACTGAATGGAGCAAGGAGGGAGGAGGAGGGGCCCCCAGCCTCCTTCCTTCTGCTGCTTCGTTCCTTCCTGGACCCACGGAGCTACACAAACCTGCCTGCTGTTTGCCTGTTTTATGCAACCAATTTGCATCTCATGTATAGTTTCCTTTTTAATGTTTTAGTTTATGTGCAGAGCCCAAATAAGCAGAGGAATTTAGATAACTATTTCTTCTGGGAGATGGAGCTCAAGAGGAATAGTTATAATATAATATAATAACAACGAAATAACAAGAATAATAGAACGAGGGCAGTTAAAGAGATTTTGCCCAACTGCATCCCTTCTTGTAGATAGACCTTAAGAAGAAGTATAATAATAATAATAATAATAATAATAATAATAATAATCCAGCAGATAGATCTTGTTTGCTGTGACATAACTGTGCTTTTGTATCAATAAAATAACCCAATCGAGCCATGCCAGTTGAAGGGATTGTGCCCAACTGCATCCCTTCTTGCTCACCTCTCATTTGTAGGGTCCTGAAAGGGTTAACCAGGCCTGTGAGAAGCCTCGCCTCCCTCCTTCCCTTCTTGCTCCATTCAGTGTTTATATCGCCCCAGCGAACTTCCGCTCGCCCTGCAGCCAAGCCGCGAACACCTCTCCGCCCCAATGACGCCAGTGAGAAGAGAGGGAGGCAGCTAGCTGAACAACCCTCTGTCGGGTGGGTGGGTGGTTCTTCTTGCGAGACAGGCTGTTATAGCACACATGGGCAAACTTTGGCCCTCCAGGTGTTTTAGACTTCAACTCCCACAATTCCCAAAACACCTGGAGGGCCCAAGTTTGCCCATTCCTTCTTCTCTCTCTCCCTCCCTTCCTTCCTTCCCCCTCCCTTGCAAAGCTTTGCAGGGATCTTTACTGGGATTTTTTTTTTTGTAAAATGAGTTATTACTAATAATAGAAAAACCACAATAAAAGCCCAACATGTGGCAATCCAGCTTCAATAATAATAAGAGTTGGGAGGGACCTCAAGGGCCATCCAGTCCAACCTCCTTCAGCTTTAATACAGGAAAACCCTGCCAAGAAGCAAGAAAAGCACATTCAAATAATCTCAACAGATGTCCATCCAGCCTCTATTTCAAAGCCTTCAAAGAAAGGAACCTCCAACACACTCCAGGGCAGAGAAGGAGAGTTCCACTGCTGAACAGCTCTCCTTACAGCCAGGAAGTTCTTCCTCATGTTCATCTGGAATCTCCTTTCTTTCCTGTAGTTTGAAGCCATTGTTCCAGTGTGTCCTAGTCTCCCAAGGCAGGAGAAAACAAGCCTGCTCCCTCTTCTTTAGGACTTCCCCTCATATATTGATCCATGGCCCTCATCATGTTTCCCCTCAGCCTTCTGTTTTGCAGGCTAAATATGCCCAGCCCTTTAAGCCACTCCTCATTGGGCTTGTTCTCCAGACCTTTGATTGTTTTAGTTGCCCTCCTCTGAACACTTCCCATCTTAGAGTCAACCTCTCCCTTCAATGGTGGTGCCCAGAATTAGACACAGTGATTCCAGGTGTAGTTTGACCAAGGCAAAATAATAATAATTACTTTATTTATTCCCCGCTACCATCTCCCCAGGGGACTCGGTGCAGCTTACATGAGGCCGAGCCCACAACACATCAATAATAAAAGCAATAACAGTAATACAAAACAATAAAATAAAAGTCATAACAGAGAATAGAACAGAGGGGTAGCATTACTTCCCTGGATCTAGACACTAGACTCCTATTTATGCAGGCCAAAAACCCATTGGCACAGAAAATTCTGGAAGGGTTTGGTGTGCATTGACCTTGAGTTTGGGAGTTGTAGTTCACCTACATCCAGAGAGCACTGTGGACTCAAACAATGATGGATCTGGACCAAACTTGGCATGAATACTCCATATGCCCAAATGTGAACACAGAGTATGGGGGGAAAAAACCTTGACATTTGAGAGTTGTAGTTATTGGAATTTATAGTACACCGACAATCAAAGAGCATTCTGAAACCAAACAAAGATAGAATTGGGCCACAGAGCACGTGGGTGTTCTGTGTTGCCACACAGAACACCCATGACCAACAGAAAATACTGTGTTTTCTGGTGGTTGTTGGCGACCCTTCTGACACTCCCTTGCAACTCCCCAGGGGTCCCGACCCCCAGGTTGAGAAATGCTGCCTTAAGGCCATCCAGTCCAATGCCCTTCACCAGGGCAAGAAAACATAATCAAAGCCCTCCTGACAAAGAGCCATACAGCCATGGAGATAGATAGATAGATAGATAGATAGATAGATAGATAAGATAGATAGATAGATAGATAGATAGATAGATAGATAGATAGAGGTATGATTCACACACACACACACATACATATGTATATGACAGATATAATATTGATTTCAAAGGGACCCCTAAAGAAGGACAATAATACGTTGCATGTTCCAGAGTAGGCAAACCAGATAATCTCTACATCAACACTGACAAAGAAACAACAAGGAATACTGTTTACCCACAAGCATCAAGACATTACATCTATTAGAAACCAACACTTTTTCATTACTTTATTTTCCAGATCACCAGACTGGGCCACAGCAATGCGTGGCAGGGGACAGCTAGTGTGTGTATGGATGGCATGGGCCAACTTTGGCCCTCCATGTGTTTTGGACTTCAACTCCCACAATTCCAAACAGCCAGTAGGAAGTCCAAAGTACTTGGAGGGCCAAAATGTGTCCATGCCCCCCATATATATACATATACATACATACATACATACATACATAATATATATATATATATATATATATAATTTTTCAATAATTGGTTTGGGGGGGGCGCCAAAATGCTGTTTGCTTACCATTGAAAATTACCTAGGGCCGCCTCTGTATCTAAGTATACAAAGGGTAGCTTATATCCACTATACCTGTAAGCCCTTTCTTGGAACAAGGCATGCATGCAAAAGAAATAATATCACTTTTTTAAAAAGCAATGTGCTCCTATATGCCACATCAACAACCCATGGCACCACAATGTTTTCCTCTATTTTTAGAGGAAAACATGAAGAAAATATAATGTTTCACAGTAAAGAGGATTGTGTGGCAAGCCTAAGCCATATCATAGGTAATCTCTTGTAGCCAAATATGATTATATTCCAAGGGTAGAGTAACTGTGAAGACCTATTCTGGATCTACGTGGTCTTTCACAATGAGGAAATAGATTTCCAGATAGAAGATGGTCATGATCTAAATGGAAACAGACAGCAATGGTAAGTATTTTTTTCATCACCTAGTGCAACTGTACCATTTTACATGAATGACCACTAACAAAAAGATTGTTATTTGGAGCATCACTATAGTAGAGCAAAAGAGGCTTGATTGCCATTTGGCTAAACATGTCATTGAATGATAGCAATGCCACAGAAAAGTACTACACACACAGCAGTTAAAAAAAGAATAGAATCAGTAGGTGCAAAAAAAAGGGAATTTATTGAAAGAACAGTTTCTTTTCATTTTGTACTTATCGGTTCTAATTTTTTATCTCCATTTGATATCAAAAATGGGCTCACAGCTGTAATTGTCTGAGAACACCTCTCTGTGGAGAGAAGACCTTTTCAAATTCCTATTATGTGCTCTTTTGAAATTTCCTACAGCTGAGATCATAATCTCTGCACCTGTATCACATTACCATAAAGCTCTGTCTGTACTTGCCTTTGTGGAAAAATTAAAATCCTGCTATCCTTCTTAAAATGAGAAATGTATAGGGCTAATTTCTAGAAACACCAATATTACCAGAACATGCATCTTCTAAGGCAATGGTTCTTCATCCTCTGATGGCCAACAAGTGTATAAAATTATCATCACACTTCATGCTCAGCCACAAAACATTATAAATGTCATTACTGTTATGACAGCTTTCTTCTAAATCTAGCTCCAGTGTAAGGGGGAATTTTTGTTATGTTCAGACTGTTTTCCTCATAAATTAGTGCCTATAAAAGCTGTCCTGCCCTTGTGTAACTGAATATAGAAACATTGATGCCATGAGTGCAAGCAAACAAATCACATCATGTGCTGTTTGACCTTTACTCATATATAACTGTAGATTTCCCATCTACAGGCTACTGCTTCAGCACCATGGAGAGGACTTTCCCTTGGAGATGGTTCTCCTGGACTCTGACTCCTTTTCTATTCCTCATTGGGAATGTATTAGTCATTCCTTTCGAATTTTGCAGTCTTCCTAGTAAATTTGAGGCTGGGAGCTCTGGGTCAATCATAAATGTGTAAATGTGTGCTGCAAAGAGTAATGTGGTTTTATTGGGA